TTGTAGGAGGGGGGACTTTTTAAAACCGATTTCTCCGAGTAAAGAATGTTCGTTAATATTAGCCAATGGACTTCACAAAACAATCATTCGATTTATTATTTCATTCGGAAGTATGCGTATCTTCACTTTGTGCAAACTGTCAACCAATCAACAAATTGATCAATCAATAATAATTATAATTACATCAATCAATCGAGCTATTAATGAACCAATGAACCAATGATCCAATAAAAAATACACTTACCGACCGACCAACCAACCCATCGATAGGAAGAGCTTGATACTTGATATTATGCAAACATTTGATCAACTAATCAACCAATCAACAAAAAAGCATATTTAACTTTGAAAAGATGGAATGACTTCATAAACAACTGGTTTCTAAAAAAAACTATTTGCTAAAATAATTATTATATATTTATTGGTAACAATGTTGTAAAAGCTATAAATGTCCTGAGTAAATCGATTCTACAATTAATACGTTTGAAACGATCCCTTATCAGACATGTATAATTTTTATCATATGAGGCAAAACGCAAAAAAATTGTAAAAAAATCGTCATTAAAGGGCAATAACTCCATTAAGGAGTCGTCGGAAAATTTCTTTCATATTGTATGAAATGTAGATCTTGCCTTGCTGATCATTTTTGCTTATTTAAGTTTCTATATATCTGTTAATATAATTTTTAAGATGTAAGGCAAAAACGCAAAAATGGTAAAAATCGTCATTAAAGGTCAATAACTCTAATCAGGAGTCAGTTGACGATTTCGACCATGCATACTTATTCGTAGATCTTGTCTTTGCAACTTAAAGTTTCTCTCTATCTATTAAAGTTTTCAAGATAAGAGGTACAAATAAAAAAAAAACATGAAAAAATTGAAGGCAATAACTCCTATAAGAAGTCGCCAGACTGTCTTGAAGTCAATGAACAATTGCTAGAGCTCAACATTCTGAACATTTTTGCCCACGTCAATTTTTTTTCTATTTATAACGGTTTTCAAAATAATAGACAAAACTGGCATTTTACCCTTATGTTTTCTATTTTTACTATGTCGGCCATCTTGGTTGGCAGGCGGGTTCATCGAACACATTTTTTTAACTAGATTTTGGCAAAGTTTGGTTAAATTTCGTCTAGTAGTTTCAGAGGAGAAGATTTTTGTAAAAGTTAACGAACGACGACGGACGCCAAATTATGAGAAAAGCTCACTTGGCCCTTTGGGCAGGTGAGCTAATACAAAAGAGATGTGATTTTTTTTTCACTGGGCCCTTTGGTCCAGATTAGATAATACAAATAAAAGAGATGTGATTTAAAGGAGACATCATTTCTATTCTTATTTATCTTTTCGAATGTTCAACTAATCGAAGCTTCAAGAGAATGTGTTTTCCTATTTTGGATTGAATACTAACGATACAAATAAATTTGTGTTCAAGACAGAGTGCAGAAAACATTTAATCATGAATGAGTTAGGTTGACATGTAACGAGCTTACGTTTACACAAGCAATGTATATTGCCTTAGCCTATTTAATTACGTTTTTTTTATTATATACCATTATGAGTGATTTTGTTAAGAGTAACTCGCTTCTTAACATATATGCGACACTTGCGTCCGTTTGACATATTCTTCTTCGATTAGTTTATTGATTTGTAAAAGAAATTGACTGTTTGAATATTACGGAAAATGTTTTCCGGTTGCCAGGCACTGTTTTGTTTTCAGTTTACCTTTATTTAAAACACATTGAATACCCATACGACGTTTCTGTAATTAAGTTTCATTAGACAACACCCAAGCAACACAGACTTATCGAAATAAACATTAAATAATGCATAATGTTCGATGATAGACACATAAATGTATTTATTATATACTTAGTAGTAAATACATGTAAATTGTATGTGTAATACGACCAATGGCAATCGTGCTGTATCAGCCATACGTGATGATACAATGTATCGATATCAGTCACGGTTACAAAGCCTTTATTACACCCCTAATCTATATGACGTCACTTCGTCGATATCAGTCACGGTTACAAAGCCTTTATTACACCCCTAATCTATATGACGTCACTTCGTCGATATCAGTCACGGTTGTAAAATCTTTATCAAACCCCTCCTCTATATTACGTCATGTCACGTCTAAAAAAACATCTCCTTGGTGTATATAATAAAGTGTATATGATACGGCTTTTTCAATATCACACACCGTATCAATCCTCAACCAATATAATCCCTCGAGGAGCTCTTTGGATTATATTGATGTCTCGGGTTGATACGGATGTGATATTGAAAAAGCTATTTAATATTCTGTATTTATTTCTGTAAAAATATATGGTCGACTTCAAAAGATTGTTTCGCCAACAACATGAACAACTGATGCCTCGAATCGAGATAAAAACCCATTATATTGTCGAGTCTGATCAAACAGTCATAACTCAGTTAATCACAAGAAGAAAACAACCAACAGTAAGTTAAAAGTAATAAACATAAATATTTGCAATTAGAGATAAATTGATACACAATTCTGTTCGTCTATATTTTAGTACTTTTTTTCATGTTGTTCTACTACTTAAATAAAACAATAATAGAAACTTCTGTTCAGTAAAAACATCGAATGTAACCACGATCAAAAGTTTTGTTGAACTTATACACCACTAGTTTTAAAAACTGATCAAATGTCTGCATGCTTCCATTATGATGCTAAAACGTGTCTCCATAGTTACATAATCATGATTAACATGTCTGTCTGATTACGTAATCATGCTAAACATGTTGTGCAGGGATATATGATCCTGATTCAAGCGTCCGCTAGATAGAAAATCAAAGTGGTTATGATTGTTCAAATGCCAGGTCAAATATATTAAATGTTCAAATCTACATACACAGGGGGATCTCTGTCCTGACAATTACCGTCTAAAATATAAAATATTATAATTTATTTGGGGTAAAATGTTTAAACCAGAATTACTACGTTAAAATCTTTGAAGTATTTACAAATGTATTTATAACATACAATAAATCAAGGCTACCGGAGATAAATAGTCTGAATGAAGGGGATTATGGTACAAGGAGAGATATTGTGTAATCGAAAAAAAAAAATGGCGATCAGGAAATTTAAATTTCATAGCTTTGTTCTGGTTCCCTCCTAAGCACCAGAAAGATAGATGATGAACGTTGAAGTAATTAGTGCTGTTTTAATTTCAAGGGAATATAACACTCTTTCAATGTTGTGTCTACACGATTGATAGACCGATCAAGCACTTTGTAACAATTCAATTTGGCGTAGTTAAAGTCCCAATGTCATTAACTCAGGAACTCGCGGTTTGCAAAGTATGTACATTTTTTTTTTTTGCAGTACATAAATCTATTTTAAATATAGTTCCTACGTCCACGCTTCGGCTACATTGGTCTGACGCCGTACTTACTTTAACTTCTGTCAAGAATACCTTGGTTTTTTTGTAATAATGATTTATGACTCCATGATGATGATGATGATGATGATGATGATGATGATGATGATGATGATGATGATGACGATGACGATGACGACGACGACGACGACGACGACGACGACGACGACGACGATGACGGTGATGATGATGATGATAATGATGAATGGCTGCTTAACGAATTGATATGTATATTCAGGACGAGAACATGTTAATGTAATATGAATATTAATCCTGCTTTTTACTAAACCGACACGGATTTTTAACGTGCTAGTTCACAAGGTAAAAGTCCGCAGGAAGACATGTCACCTTACCCGGACACATAATTCGGACTCTGTTCTTAGTTTGCTCTTACTCATTAATGCCGCGTGCTTAACAGAGAAGCAGCAAATACCAATTTCAAAGTCTTATGGTTTGACCCGGTCGGGGTTCGACCCACGACCTCCCGCACTCGAGGCGAACACGCTGCTACGAGACCACCAAGGCAAAAATTTAGAGAAAAACATTACAAATTTTTCACTGTTTAATGTCATAATGATAAAAAGTAATTGAAAGTTGTTAAATCTATTTAAGGAAGGAATAAATGCAAGATCTGGTTTGTTTTCTAATTAGTCATAGTGCAGAATGTTTGTACTTTTTTTTTCTGCATCTCGAGATAAAAGTTTAAATGATATAGAGTTATTTGTGAAAATACATCCGAAGATAATTATTTTATTTTTAAGTTGACTTCTAAGTAAGAAGCGTACGTCCACGAGACAGCAGCCTGCAGACAAAAATTACAATGTATATAAAGGTCAGCATGCAGTCTTCCACAAAAGTCAGGTATCTTACTCAATACGTCTAAAGTAATGAATAAACTGACAGAAAATTGAAAAAAGCAAACGAACTAACCTGTTCTTCATTGGTTGTCGTTGGTTCATGTCTGTCGTATTTGTTTTTCGTAAAATGTTTTGTTATGAATTAGGCCATTAGTTTTCTCGTTTGAATTGTCTAATATTTTTTCATGTCGGAGCCTTTTACAGTATGGGGTTTGCTGATTGGTGAAAGACGTACGGTGATCTTTAATTGCTTACACCCACGTCGTTTGAACTCTGGTGGGTAGTTGTCTCATTGGCAATCATACCACATCTCCTTATTTTTATTATAACCATAAGCTACGACATACAATAAGACAAACACTGACGAAAGTTCTGACTTGTGACAAGCATAATACTAGGAGGGGTATAAACTAAGGTTTTTTTTATTTTTTATCTCAACCCTTCTTTTCTTAATTCGTTTGATTGATTATTAAAAGGCCAGGGGCGGATTCAGGCGGGGGCGTGGCGGGCGTGCGCCCCCCTAAAATTTGCAAAGCATGGGTTGTCCTCAGCTTAATAAAGAATATTTCGATAATTATACCTCAAAAAAAATTTTCGCCTCGCTCCGCGCGCGTCGAAAATTTAAGTTTGCGCCCCCCACCCCCTAACCTAAAATCCTGGATCCGCCCCTGAAGGTCCCTGCACACAAAGACACACATGTACTTTTAACTTTTTATTTCGTTTTATATACCTACCTTCGTTAAGTCTGTTGATGTTTTGATAATGTTCGCTATCTATGTTCGTCATTATACCACATTCATTGTAATAGGTGCTGAAAGTTTATAATGCAGAAAATGTAATAGTGAGGTAATGTCTTCAAATTATATATAATATTTTTATGCAAATACAAAATACAATTCCAGTTATATCAACAGAATGTACGTCCTTACGGAAATAGTTTTTAAACACAAACTTGAAAATTAACGTGTGTTATGAAATTTATTAGATTACGACACCAGTTTTTCTACTATATAGCAAAGGTGGCTTAATTTGTTAGTACTGATATAATAAAGTATTTTTGCATGATATCGTACATTTTGCTAGCATTCAAAATTTTAAAATTCGACGATCTAGCAAGTGAAAGCCTGATATTCTTTTGGGATAAGTTGATTCGAAAAATCAATGAGCTCACGTTATCTAAATTTAAAATTCAAACCTAGTATGTTTAACATTTTCCCGACACTATTACTTTCAAGGAGTTTTTACAAGAATCACCCTCCAAACGAGGTCTAAAACCTTTTTAATTAAAAATAATTGAACAAAACAATTTTCTTGAAAAAGATGACTCAGAGGTATATACTAATTGAGTTTCTATTTTTGTCACTATCATACGCTGAACACTGACAACAAGCAAACAAATTAAGGCGAGTAAAATTTCAGAGTTAATTTCGCGCAAAGTGTTGAATTGAAATTATTGATTGTTTTACTCTGATGCAGAAATATGCATCGTTGGATATATTAAGCATACATGAGAATTGCAAACGTTGTCTTCTATTAATATTGCTGCATGTGTTGTAAAGCTACACACCAGAATTACTCTATTGAATGATTTGAAACTTTATATTTACTTAAGCTTTATACCGCAAACACATATTGTAAAATCGTATTCGTACCTTGTCTCACTTGATATATGGTCCAGAACAGATGAATCTGTTTGAAAAATACAGATGGTCGTATAATTTCTACATTTTATGTTTATTTTTATTTTACTTATGCAAACAATTTTGCATATTTCATTTATACTATAACAATACTGAACACACCCGCGACATCGTCGCGGGTCCGTGATGAATTAAAGTACCTTCGCCTTATATTTAGCCTGGATTTTAAGTAAACTATTCGTATTGTCATGTGATAAAGTAATGCTGATTATAAAGTGCACAGTTTTCTCTGCGTTCAAAATCTTCAACCCTAACCTTAAAAGAATCTTTCTGTTTGAACCCGTTCTTGTTTTCTTACTACAACCGGAAACTACATGTGACATTATACTAATTTTTTGGGGGTCAATGATTGAATTTAGTAGTGTCAATCCCTGCCTAATGACGAAGTTCATGTGTGATTATGACCCGTGTATATAGCAAATCCCAAATACACCGTTTGGTGGTGCGTCTGACAGAGGCGGAACGTACAGATTAGGTAACAGGTAAATATTGGTAGCGGTATCGGATTCGACCCGGAACTTGTTAATTATTGTAATATTAATTATTTGGAAAATACAAAGGTCTGGAATGGTGTAATTTTTAATCAACACCATTGTTCTATATTAGTTGTATATAAATCTGAATTATTTGTTTCGTCGTTTTAACGTCATGCCGGCTAACAAATTGGACTCGTTATTTTAGTAGTATAGATTACCAGATTGTATGAAGCTTTAGATGAGCACCTATAAAAAGTTTCTCTCTCGCTTTGTTCATTTTATAGCAACCACATTAATAATTGTAAAATCACACATCCTGAAACTTTGCACATAGTTTTTTTCGTATCTCATTTCACAAGCGTAACTATGTAATATGAATTGTGAGTTCAAGAGAAGAAATATTAAAGACAAATCTACTCGTGTAAGAAAGTTTTAAGTTTTTGCCTTTGTGATGTAGGATAATTTTCGGGAGTTAAAATACCGACAAGTTTCAGACAGCAATGAGTAAATATTTTTACTCCATTTTTCACGAACATTATCACTCTCGAAGTCGAACACAAATCTGACCTTAATATCATATTTTCTAGTTTTGCATGCATGTTTGTATATGAATTTTTATCTCGCAAGTAAAACCGCAATGAATAAAATTTAAAAGGTAAAGGTGCGAATATGTTGTCGCATCAAAGAGTTTGACTGATACGAAATATTGCAGTACATTGCAAACATTTGATATTTGATTCACGCCTGCTATGACATGATGGGTGAGAAAATAATAGAATGCTATCGTACTTACCATTTCCTACATGTTGCAACTCATTGTATATGTGTTTTTCAGTGCTAACCACATCTTCACTAATTAATAAAAAAAATATGACAAAACGGTCACATAGAACAATGATCAAAAGGGCAGACTTAACAATTTAAGCACATGCTTTTTTTTAAAGAATAATAGAAAATGGAACAAATTCTTAAATAGAATTTGCAGTCATTTGAAATCATCTGATCAGAATCATCTTGATGGTGTTACGATCGACGCTTTCTTTGGATAGACGAACGCAATTAGGAAGACAATATATCGCAATGCTTGCGTTTAAACATGATAATTTAAGCAAAGTCGTTTATTCTCTAATACCGATACAGCGATATAATTAATATTCCAAACTATAAGCACTCTGGCTTCAACTATCATCAATATGCCCCGAAGACAAACTTTCAGAAGAATATGCTTAGGAATATAAAAATGTTCTAAGATATACCAGTTTAATCCCATTACTTTAAAAAATAAAGACAGATTGAAATAATAAATCCAACTAATTTCATCAATAGTTATTACAAACAGTGATGCCTTTATCGGTACTAATATTGATTTTATTTCAAATAGTTTAATGCATAACTAAACTAACATCACTATAAAGTTACCAAAACGTGTGGCTCTTCATCCTGTAGATATTTATATTTCGTTATTGCACAAGGTTAAGCTTTCTGAAGTGTGTTTACGCCATTTCCGTTGAATGTGTACATATTAATAATAAATTCTGGAATGACATTGTCCATTTATTCTTTACTACCAAGATGAACCTTTGACTAGTTTTCAGTAACTGAAAGTACTCTTAATCGGTACTATGTGCCTTTTGTCATTTTGTAAGATGTTTTTGTTTGTGCTTAATAACCCCATCTGATGCGTCAAGCCCTTTTCGACGGCTTTCTATAGTGTTCTAATGTTGCACTCCTGCCCAAGATAAGAGGGAGAATGATCGCTCACAACATGTGTATCTGCTACACATTCTGTTTTCTGTCTCAAGCCAGGTTACTATTTTTTTCCCTTTCAACTGTTTCAAATTTTGTTATACTGGGACCTTTTATCTCTTAGGGCACGATATGGGTTATGCTTATTGTGATATGTTGTAAGATGACTTGTGTAGTGGTTCAAACTTTTCTTCTTCAGTCTTTTAAGGATATTTGCCACATTCCAGCAGCTCCTGCATAAGGTGTATATATCTCCTAAATGATACGATATTCTAGAGATTGCGTTTTCTATCATTATTTTTCATTGTTTTCACCGGGATATATAGTTGCTGTGTACAGGGAAGCTGTTTAAGTAAGGGTTCAAAGTGGGGAAGTTGACCGTTAAACAATATCTGTGCCATTGATGATCATGTATATGTTCAAAGTGGCATAACCATAATCCCGTCTTCTTTTCCTTGAATGGGACATTAAGTTACAATCATATCCTCTTTTCCTCGTAGGGCGTTTACATATCTCAATTGATACGTAACGCATGTGCATGTTCACACTATACGGACTTCATTTAGCAACGATATGCTTCGTACACAGCACACTGTTCCAACAGATTTACGAGAAAGAACGACTGAAATCGACACTACTTAAGTTTTACAGTCACCATGAGAAATTAGTTGACAGATACTATATTAACTCACTAGCTATATATTTGCAGTCTTGAATTTTTAGATACCAAAATAGTCGTCTGAACTATAATTTTACCTATTGTATCCTAATCCCATTTGTAACATTATCAACGAGTGTGGATTCCCAGGGCGGTTGTTGCATGAATTGGAGGAGCTGCTTATCCTGGTCTCGCTTCTTTTGGATTCCCTAAGTTTGTTTTTGTTACTTTCATTTGTCTTCTTAATCGATTGATGAGATTTGAACAGCGGTAATGAGATCATCTAATGTAGCTTACCATCGGATATGTAACTGTCATGAGCAAAACAACGCATACCCTTGAAGATTCAGTAAGGCATCTTCATATCTTTGAAATGGATTAGGAACTGTTGTCAGCTTTCTTTGCAGTGTTTTGTGAAATGTGTATTTGACTTTTTCTCTCCGAGTTTTCAAAACAATATATTGTTAGCAAAATATCAATACAGTAAGCCGTTAAAAAGATATCATGTCATGCTTACCTTGAATTTTGAGTTGCTTGGTACATTGAATTTCGTTCTGAATATAAAAAAAATGTCATACAAATTCTCATATTTGTATTGAAAATGTTATAATCAAATTTGCCAAATACAAATTCTCATATTTGTATTGAAAAGGTTATAATCAAATTTGCCTAAATTACCTACCAAAATCTAAAAAAACTAAAAAAAAGAAGATTTTAACGGCAAATTTCAGGTTCCTCATGTGCGTATCTTTATCGTATGAAAGATTCTTGGCATTTTATCGTTCACTATTATATTTAAAACATTAAATACGGCAACAGTCGATTTAATTTTGAACATGGCATATTAGTATCATTTGTAATACAAGTTGAGAAAAAAAAGGCGAAAGATACCAAAGGGACATTCAAACTCATAGTCTTCAAGTCGAAAATAAACTGAACCTCGCCACATTCTGTATGTATGTGCCTGTCCCAAGTCAGGAGCCTGTAATTCAGTGGTTGTCGTTTGTTTATGTGTTACATATTTGTTATTCGTTCATTTTTTGTACATAAATTAGGCCGTTAGTTTTCTCGTTTGGATTGTTTTACATTGTCATTTCGGGGCCTTTTATAGCTGATTGTGCGGTATGGGCTTTGCTCATTGTTGAAGGCCGTACGGTGACCTATAGTTGTTAATTTCTGTGTCATTTGGTCTCTTGTGGAGAGTTGTCTCATTGGCAATCATACCACATCTTCTTTTTTATACAACGCCATGGCTAAAAAAGAAAAAGACCAACAGACAAACAACAGTACACAAAACACAACGTAGAAAACTAAAGACTCAGCAACACGAACAGCACCAAAACTGGTGTGATTTCAGGTGCTCCAGAAGGGTAAGGAGAAGGGTATAATAACTTCATTTCATGCGCTTCTCAAGTTGATCGGTTTCTTAGAAGTATCACGATTAATGTTAAATGATTCAATGAATTTGCTATTTTGAGCGAAATATTGATTGATGTAATTAATTTATATATATATTGTATTTGAAATAATGACGATGTCTGAGGAAATTTAATACGAGAAGGGAATTAAAATAATACCCGTTTTTTTAACATTTTTATAATGTCAGAAAATTTAACATATTTAACATTTAGAGACATAGATGTTTTATTCTACTAACCTTTATTTTCATTTATTTTTTTCTTGTAAAAAAATACCACAAGACTTGTTAATATCAATATAATTACAGCTGATCCGATGCTTGCTCCAATTCCAGCAGCCGATATCATATCTGATTGTCCATTTTTTGGAGCTTAAATCGAGAAGTAATATAGGAGATATATTTTGTTGAGGTATACGATACATACATAATTATGAAATAAATTTGAAAAAATAATTCTAAAGTTAAAATCGACGAGTGGAGTGCTGGTTAAACTTCTATGCAATACATGTAAATGTTCTAAAATACCATAGTTTTCAGTTCAGTACAAAAATCTAAATATGAAGAAGAATATGGTATTTCAAAAGTTGACAATCCCTTGAACAAATCAATTGCGAATTAATTGACAATTAGGTCAATATCACTTGTGGTGATGTTTGTCTCAGGTTATTACCATTCTTAGGAGAAGGCGTGGCCATGCTCACACAAAATGTTGTAGATTTTGGTTAGTATGTGCAGATTAACAGTTTCATAAAGATGGAATATAGTTCGAAGAACAAAGGTTTTTTTAGCCCTTTTTTTTATAAATTGGGCTGTTAGTTTTCTCAATTGAATTGTCTCTTATTTTTCATGTCGAGGCCTTTTTTTATAGCTTTTATCAAAAATTCTATTTTACACATAATAAAATGTGAATACGAAAAAACTCTTATTCTCCTTCTTTTCCATGTACAACCCTTACATTATCAAACCAATAATTATTTAGATACTTTAATCTTAATTTTCACATTATTACACACAACTGATGTATTGAAACTATCTTAAAAGATTTAAGCCTCAGATATGATAAGAATAAGGATTAATATGATTTTGAAATTTATTCATATAATATTTCGTACATAAATGACAGTAGTGGAGTGACAAATCGGGAAAAGTCGCTTATTTAAAGAGTTTAATGGATCGAAGTACCTCACGGCTGAAAATCAACACGAAGATAGAGTAAACATTATACTTTCATTTTAGCCCTGTCGTAGAGTTTTCCCACGGTGCAGTTTTTTTTGTAAAATCGCACTAAAGTGTGACTTCCTGGTTTTTTTCTTTTTCATTTTCAAACACGGGAACGCTTATAATAAATTCCCTAATAAAGATATCATCATAAAATTGGTATCAGATGAAAGAGTGATGTATCAGCTTTTATTTGACATCAAACTTTAATATCATATAAACATATAAATTGAGTGAATTGGATGATTTTCAAATGTATGTAACATCTTTTTTTCCAATCTTATCGTCTGTCAAAGTATATTACATTTCTTATATATATCACCAAAAGTAAATTTTCACAAAAAATAGTGGAACAAACAATACTTAAGAAGTTTTGATATATAAAAGTTTGATAGAACATACCAATGAACTTTTACAAGCCTTTTTATAATACTCATCACATAGGCTAGCAGTATTACTACTCAATTTTTACCTCAATAAGTCATGTAACGCTCCCTTTTCCTATTTTCCCCTGTCATATGAAATGCTGTGTTTTTCACAATGAAATTAATATGCATTTTCTTAAGTTGTATAAACAAGAATATACATTTGTAACAATAGTTTTGTCTATGTGCTTGATACTAAGGTTTAATAACTTTTGAGGTGCTTTTATTCTTGTTAAGTTTTTCGAAAAGACTAATTTTAAACCACATTTGAAGACATCCGAAAAATTCCGGAAAATTATTGGCAGTGCTAATTACATTAAATAAAAACGAGTAAAGTAGCTTAGGTCATGTTATTTAGCCTTTACGTGTACAAGAAGAAAACATTTTGATGCATTTGAATTAGGGAAAACTCATGCGTGTAATGATGAACCAACTAAAACACGCTCCATGGCATTATCATGACTTGTAAAAATGTCTATTCTGGAGACAGAAGTCATACAACAAGCTCAGCAATTAAGGCATGTCGAGTCATTTGCGCGTGCCGATATTGTTTTAAATGACGCAAATTATCAGGCAGGCCATCCAGTCGGAGTTTACTCTTCAAAAATAGCTTCAAGGACAAGCCGCTTCAACATTCAGCATGCATTGTTACCTACTTGTAATGATGACATTAAAAATAATTTGCTTCTGATGCTTCAAATTATTCGGGGCATGATGTTGTCTTTCAAAAACTAATAGAAAGTCTACATGATGATCTGTTAGAAAAAAAAAAAAAAACGTTTTCGTTGTCGTATAGTTTGCCAGTTACATTTGTTTACAGATCTTTCATGTTGCGAAAAAATTGTGAAAAGCTGTTTACGATGGTTCGAAATTTCAAATTATTTCTATCTTTACAATGAATTCCAACCTCTCTGATAAATATTTTGCCTGGTTAGTAGATGACAATTATTTTCATATGGATAATGATTACAAATTGATAATGATTACAATGTACTCTCATGTGATACTGAACGGAAATGTATACTTTAGCTGAGTTTGTGATATTCCTTTATGAAAAACCAGTACACCCCTGATCAGATAGATGGTATTGGTATTGTCCGAAGTATTTATGTAAAAAGGTACAACAGTTATTGAAATTTGGCCAATGACTGCTTTAAAACCATAATTTAAAAAATATGTGGTATGATTGCCAATAAGACAAATCTCCACAAGAGACCAAAAATTACACATACATTTACAACTATAGGTCACCATACGGCCTTCAACAATAAGCAAAGCCCTTACCGCATATATAGTCAGCAATAAAAGGTCCCGAATTGACAAATGTAAAACAATTCAAACGAGAAAAAATACGGCCTAATTAATGTAGAAAATAATAAACAAACAACAAAAATGTAACACAGCTATAAATGACAACCACTGAATAACAGGCTCTTGACTTGGGACAGGCATATACAGAATGTGGCGAGGTTAAACATGTCAGCAGGCGCCCAACCGACCCCTAACATGGGACAGTGGTGTATATAAAAAACAAAAAGAAGATGTGGTATGATTGCCAATGGGACAACTCTTCTCAAGAGACCAAATGACACAGAAATCAACAACTATAGGTTACCGTACGACCTTCAACAATGAGCAAATCCCATACCATATAGTCAGCCATTAAAGGCTGATAAGGTTTGTTTCAAATGGTGTTAGATCTAAATTGTTCTTCAAGTCATTGAATGCAGATCAATTAGAGATTGTAAGAAATTTATTTGTGCACATGAAAATAAACATGGGTTGATAAGATTTGAAGGTATCTATGCACTATCGCACTACAATGATTTTGATTTGCTAGAACATGACGAAATATTTCTAGCGGGATCTTTTCAAAATCCATAGACTGTGAAGCAATTTTGTGCAGGATCTGTAAGTGACTGAAGAGGCAGATATAAGAATTATACTGCCGCCTCTGTTTGCCAATGAACAGATATTGAAAGTAATTCCAAGGGTTGCATCATATTAAAATCAAGACAGTTATGTTTTATTTCTAATAAGGTCTTTTCCTCAGATGCCAAACATGATGAATTGCGATTTCAGACTGGATGCGTTTCTTCAACCAAAGCCACAAGACAGTTTTTACCTATTCACGACATATGCAACTTTTTTAAGTTATTGGACCCCTGATGTCTGGCACACCAACAGCAGCTCGCGCTCTTACAGGATGCGACACGTCTTCTCTTATCGAAATTGGCAAAAAGAAGACAATTACAAGGGGTCGGAAAAAAACTTGCATGTATCAAAATTTGTCATTCTAGCTGGTTCTTAGATTGTCAAATCTTTTGCAATCAATTCACCGCGGTTCAAAATGACCCCAGATGCAATGGTCACTCAGTACATTGTGATCTGAATAAACGCATGAGCATTGTCGAGCCATACAATGACATCCACTTTTTTCTAGTATTCTGTTACCTTTTCAAATTGATGTGCATATTGATATCTAGTGTTAGTGTATTATAATTATACCTCGACAGCTTCTTTTGAAGCGAAATATTTTTTTGAATCGTGTTTGTTTGTAGTTCACATATATATCGGGCTTTCAAACCTGCCATATATTCTATTGTTTATAGATATAAGAAGATGTGGTATGAGTGCCAATGAGACAACTCTTCATCCAGGTCAGTAAGTTATAAAGGGCCCCAAAAAATGACTAGTGTAAACCATTCAAACGAAAAAACCATTGAAACGGTCTAATCTATATGAAAAACTAGAAGCGAGAAACATTTATTGAATCACATCAACAAACGACAACCTTGTCTGTTGTTGTTTTATAAAAAAGGGGGACACATCTTCGCAATGTGCTATTGCTCTAGTACTGATTTATTTATTAACATAAAAACAAACTTCGTATGCTATAGTGTCATGAATATGAAGACTAATTTTTATAGTTCTAACATCCTTTTAAGTTCAAATAATCAGCTAAGAATTTCATCATTTTTTTTTCATTACATCCTGGACCGGGTGTTAACTTAACAGTTCTTATTTCTCCTCTATTCTTGATGGCATTTTAACAAAACTTTCCCCAAAATATCTTTATATGTGGCCATATATTATTGAATAGTTAAATCTTAATTATGAATATTTTTTGTCGATAATTTCCGTAGATGAAGATATTTTTTTACATTTTCTTACATGTTGCAAGCGAGGGTATGTATCCCCCCTTTTGACCTTTGACCGCAGTTTTCAAAAATCTGCACCACTCTGGCACTCTACGATATGCCTTAATCGAAGGATATCATATTTATCTACAAAATAAGACCAAAATTAGCCGTGAGGTATTTCGGTCCATTAAATTTTCAAATTTACCTTATTTGTCACCGTACTACAGTGCACCACAAGCCTCTAAAGGCTGGTTGGTATAAATATACATGTTTATTGACTACATATGTTTAAAATTGTAATATATTGTGTTTCATGTACATGTACCAAGTTGTACTTTAAAATAAAAATATTTTTTTCTGGCTATCTATCTGTAGCCGACTATACGGTATGGGTTTTTCTCATTGTTGAAGACCGTACGGTTGCCTATAATTGCTTACATCTATTTTATTTGAACTTTCGGTGGATAGTTGTTTCATTGGCAATAATACATCATTTCCTTATTTTTAAAGTATCTTTGACGACGTTTTGCAAAGAGCTGAAAGAAGCGATATCATGTCTCACCTGATAATGTCGTGCAGTTTACGTCTTCGTCCAATTCCACTGTTCCAAGTTTATTGATGGCTTGCATAGAGACAATATATAATGTTTTTGAACTAAGGGATTCAAACGTAAACTTCATTATTTCTGCTTCACCTTGATCAGATATAATGGGTGAAGAAGTGGTTTGGTTTATCTGGTTATTCAGTATCACTACTATAAATGATTGAGTATAACCTCCATTTAACCCTGGTCTCCAAAACACTGTCATTGATGTTTTCTTACAAACAATGGATACAATTGTTGGAGGGTCTGGTTTCTGTGTTGGTGCACTTGGCGTATTGACCGTAGTCACATCAACTTAATAGATACAAAAAATGTAATCGTATCAAAATATACAAATATTCTTCATTGCTTGCAAATAAGATATCTTAACAATTGACACATACCAATTATGTAGTTTGCCTTAAAGAGCTAATTTTAATAAAGCTTAACGACGGCATGAAATTACTTTTTCTTAAGGATGTTCGCTCCTCTTGTTTTTGAATTTTTGCCAGATATTCTGAATCTTCTGGTTTTATCCATGTAGTGCCATTAAAAAGTTTTGCCCTCTTACCCCTACTTTTCTGTTTACAATTTTATCACATATAGTTTAAAAAGCCATATTTTTTTCTGCTTTTTTAGTTTCTTTATTTATATACTATCAATTTATAACAGTCTTTTAAAAAGCTCGTTATTTTGAAACAGAGGAGCGAACATCCTTAAGATAACGTTGTTTAAAGATTTTTTTAAACACTTCAAGAATTGGCGTATACCCCACATCTCCTTTCATTCCTATTGAATAAATTCAATCTTGACTTTAAAATCCAGAAAGATTTTGATGGATGTTTTTCTTCTCGTTGTCATTCTTTGTTTTGATATAGCCATACAATCATACTGCTTTAGTGTTTTTGTTACTCGTTATATCGAACTGATATTGCCAGCATTCGCAGTTTAGTGGTATCATGCACGTACCGAAGACCTTGGTGATTATTGAAGAAAAATACGCACAAAATTTTACCTTAATCGTGATATTCGTTTCTGAGAAGTAAAAAGTTTGATAGTTGAAAGTTAAAAGTTAGATTGTACTTTTACTTAAGTTAGCACAGTAGCCAGTGGAGTCTTGAAAAAAGATAGTCGTCAGTTACATATACCATAGAATGATGTCAGAGAACTGGTTTATTTAACACTAACTATAAAATATGTCGATTCTATCATGATATATCACATTTATCTTATGATGTGCAATACGAAAATGATTAGATATTCCCCCTTTCGCTAAACGTACCGACACATGTTCCTTTTATAACAAACGCATAAATGACGCAAGGAAACGTCCTCTTAACACATGATTTGACGGAGTGATATAACGATTGTAATCCAGCATAATTGTCACCCTGCATTATGATTTTATTTCAGAACCTAAACATAACTCACATGATCTTTCAACAGTCAATTCCCTGTATGTGATGTTACTAAAATTAGTACCGAAATCCATCCCACATTTAAATGTTACTCGCTGGTTGGTAACAGTTGCGCTGTAAGTCCACGTGAATATTCTAGCGTCTTCTGAACAACTGCAAGTGTCATTGCATTGGAATGCTGGTTTTCCGTCCTGTGGTATCCCATAACATGTTGATGTCGATGGCACGTAACGTATGTTTATAATACTAATATTGTCCTTGTATAAATATGCTGCGTCTCCCCTCGGAGTAATGTGAGAAGAACAGTTCAGTGTAAATGGCTGATTACTGATGATGAAATGGTTGGAGCCAGTTAATGTAAAGTCACCTTGGTTTAAACAAAACAAAATGTTAATTCTAGAAAATAATACCGAAAGGACGTCTTCCATCTCACAACAGACGAAAGACGCGAGATCACGTGTTTCGGTGTTTGTTGCTCGTTTTGTTTTAAATTTTTTTTTTGATAGAAGAAAAGGTCAAACAACGTCATTTCAATTTGCAGTTATATCATTATGATGTTGATACAAATGTCCATCTACATACCATCCGTTGAAAATACATGTATTTAGTTTTAGTGTTGTTGACAGAAACGATTACAAAATTATAAATCGGGCTTCTTTGGTTTTTTTTAACTTCTAATTGAAACAACAAACTTGATATACTCCATAAAAATAACAGAGGCCATTTGTCAGAGCATCCATGTATACTGTAGCAATGAAATATATATATAGAATGATTACATTAAATTGAATCAAACAATAGTTGGTGTTTTTTTATTATAAGATACACGCCACAAACAATTAATCGCATAATTACTTACTTTGTATGTAGATAAGTATCTTTGCTGATGCTTTCGTATCGGCTTCTTCAAAGTTAACAGTTTCGCAGTATATAGATAAGTTGTGATCAGCAGTCTTCAAAATATACGTCAATGTACTGGAAGATATAAATGTATTGCCATCTTGTTCGGAAGACTTTGTCTCTGATTGAGTTGTTATATTTTGATTGCCCATGTACCACTGTACCCAGGCAGCAGGACGACAGGGACTTGTAGTACATGTAAATGTCTGTGTCTGTCCTTCTACAACGTTTAATTGGTCGTTGTTACCAGTTGGTGTAATAGTGATAGTTTTCACGGGTACTGTAATATAAAGATAACTTTATACGGCATTGTGCAAATAAAATATTGATAATTATCGAAGATAATTTCATACACCAAATGCACATCTTAGAATAATATTTCTTGTTAGAGAACTACAAACTAAATTAAATTTGAATTATAAAACGCTGAAGAGCAAGAAACCTTAACAATAGTATCACAGTGAAGTATGCAAACAAGAGCACAGGAACACGTACATGTATGCACATCGGAAAGACAACATTAGCATTAAAAGAATGTTAAAAATTGAAAACTATGTGATTGTTACTAAAGCTTCAGTGAAGCTCTGTTCGTCTTCTGTAATACAGATATTATTTAGATGAGTGCTTATGTGAACTGATACTTATAATATGTATTGTCTGTTCGACAGGTATTTGTCACTACACAGATAGAGAAACAAAACAAAGAATCGTAAAACCAGTTTACCCCTACCCCTCCCCCACGCACATATTAATCAATGTGCCTGTCTGTAATTTATACTCATTTCAGTTTTCAGTTGTCCCCTTTGTATGTTTCTTAGTAAATGAGTCCTTTAGATATTAAAGTTGATTTATGGAATAACTTTGAAGATATCTTATAAGTTTGGTCACAATTTGTCTCTAATTCAGGCGATTCAAAGCTTGACATGTGGTTTACAAAGTGGAGAATTGTTAAAGATCGTATCTGCATTTAAATGTGTTATTTATGTTTTATTGTTGTATCAGTAACAACATGTATAAACAATATTTCCTATCATCTATATAAAATAACCACTGCTCACATTCTTTTAGTTTGCGAAAAACGATTTGTTTTTTGATCTGATATGAATAAAAGGAGGTGTAATGTATATGTTAGGAGGTAGCAACCCAACGATCCACGCATACACACATACATGGATGCATCGAAAGTAAAACATATACATTAATGTCTCAATCTCATTATTTATTGTCTTTACATGTCACTTACTTCTAACATACATTTCCAACTCAGATGAAGGATTTCCTATCCCAAATGGACTTTGACATGTCCATTTAGATTTATGTAAACTGTCTGTAACAAATGACCCAGGAATGGTGAATGAGTAGGTTCCAGTGGTAATGTTACACCTGTACATGTTGTTTGAAGAACAACTCGAATCCAGCTTAAAGTTACCATCCTGAACTCCGTTTATCACACAATAAGTTCGACCATCTGTATTAAAAACAACAAAGGTTTGAACAGTTGTACACATAAAGGAAAAATTGACACCAGTTGTAGCTCTGTTTGATGACATTGTAAGCTGAAAGTCTACAAGTATATATCATGAATGTAATATATTACAAATCGACAAGACAATGATCGGTATATGACTTTTTAGATAACTACTTTTTAATAAACTTGCAGCTACACACATTCTTAGTATATGTAATATATAAGTTCCATTATATGCAAGACTTGCAAGAATGATATTGTTAATTCCTAAATTTCACAAACTATTGACAAACCCCAGCATTCTGGGTATGCAATGACAATTTGAGAACATTAAACTTTTAACATTATTTACTTGTCATGCATGTTGGTTGTGTCTGAATAACCATTTGTCTGTATTTAATCTTATATACATGTTTTCTCACTTGTTGAAAATTTCCTTAACATACATGTTAAGGAATTATAAAAAAAGACAAGATATGATATGATTGTCCAGGAAACAACTCTCCATCAACCATTATCGTTTAGTAAGCTGTAAAAGGGCATGAAATGACGAAGTTAATGTAAAACAATTCAAACGAA